TTACATTCATTCACACGATTGTGCGCCACTCACAATAGATGCGAAAAAGAGCAACAACAAAAACAAGTTCTTCAATTGTTGTAGTTAGCATCGAGTTTAGAAACTCGACAAGAAAAAAAAAAAAAAAAGAAAAATAACAAAAATTAAGCAAAAGAAAAAAACGAGTGCAAAAAATTAACACTTATCACATGACGCCACATCAGGAATTTGCAGCAAGGTGAGCAACACGAATCAAAGATTTGAATTTTATCGAAAAACGGAATCAATAAAACGAAACTCTTTTTAGTTTTCCCTAATGCATACGAGATTTACTTCAAAACCATTCCATGAAGCAATCAAAAATTCGATAGCATCAAATTAGTTAAGATTTAGAGAGCAAGAAGCCAACGAATCTGAAATATTCTCTTGGATGTATTCCCTATGTGTGCTTAAATTATGTATAAACATCAAATGATTGTTTCTCTATGCGAAGATATGTGATATATGACCATATAAAATATGTATATCATGCTATATATTTGCTATATGATAAACAAATCTGATGTTAGTTATACAGGCCTCGTATCTATACAAACTGTATGACTCTTAAAGTCAAGAAGAGATGGAAAAACTAGAATGTCTATCTATGAGTTCTGCTCCAAAAGTATTGTGAATGCTGAGTTTCAATTTCGGTTTGAGTCAACTCCCTCAGTTACGATCACTTTAGTTAATTTTTGGCAGCTGTTTTGCTTCGCCATGTTTTGACTAATCTTCGATTTGCGCCTACAGAAATCAAAATATCAAATACTTAGTCAAAAATCACAGACTAATGATGCTGCACAATCATCAATCAAAAATTTCATCACTTAAAAGTTTTTCTAATGACAAAAAATAGAAGAGGTATATGAAAATGCACTACTAAGCCACGATTTAGTCGTTCAATAATCATAAATGCTCTTTTAAATCAAATTAAATGGAATTTATAAAAATATCATATAAACCATTTTCATTTTTAGAGGAATTCATTATTTGTAATATGAATATTACTTATTTGTCTTATGCAGACCATAATTGTATATCCAGAAACATAGTAAAGCTGGCAATTATTGAGTTAGGTTTAAGAACTATTAAATGTTCCTAAACAAAGCGCGTTTATTGTTTACTAACGCCGCCACAGAATAAATATAGTAAGACTAATTTACTAGAAATATGATACACATATTAGCAATATATACTAAGGTATACTGATATGAGCACCTAAGCGACATGCGACTCATGTTACTCATGTTGCCTCACACAGCTAATTATTTCGCTTGCATTGAGCAACGAAATTGTTCCACAAATAATACCCTCAATTAGATCCATGAATCGTACTGTGACATTTTTAAGATAAGGCGACGAAAGTCATATTTTTCGTAACAAAATGCAATGAGTGTACTTGAACTTGTTTTCAACGTTTTTCCTCTCGGGGTTGTTTTCGCAGGCAAAGGAAGTAAATAGTTTTGTCTATTGATAAGAACTGATAGGAATGCTTAATGGATTAACTTTTTTGTACTAGTTTATACAAGTGATAAGTTTGTTTTTTAATTCGCATTTGAAATGTACGACAAAGATATAAATTTATGCAATTTCTGATTGATGGAGTGTTAATAGAAAATTACTAATTTGGCTTAAATTTCTTATCAAATGAAATGGAATAGACAAAAAATAATATTTTTCTAAGAAAGAAACAGTAACAGTAACAGTAAGAATTGCTTTTGTCATATTTTACAGATTCTTTCAAAGTTTTTCTTTTCCACGTAAGTTCTTGACGGAAGTTAAAAAACTTCTAATTCCACATAAAATATTTTGAATCGTGTACAAACCAGAGTGAATCAAATTTAGTGATTCCGCGCTAAGCTGAGATTACAAATGTCAAAAAGTACCAAATTGAATTGAAGTCACGTTTTTGCAAAAAGAATCATAAATAATGTGGGAGGAGGTAGAGGTGACAAATACACTCACACACACATGCGCAATTATACGCATACGCATACATAAATAGCGAATGCTCACATACGATCTGCAATTTGCTGCTGATTGATAGAGCAGAACAGAAGAAATAACGCAGCACGTTGTGTCGTCGAGAGAGAGCTGCAAGAGTTGCAATAAGCTGCGCTCAAAATGCCAAGAGCTTAATGGAGAGTAAGTGGGTGGACCGCGTGTGAGCACGAGAGAGATAGACACAAAGAGTCTGTGTGTGTGTGTGTAAATTGCTCACGAAGCTAAAGTATGAATGTAATGTGAATGTGGAATGCGCGTTGGGAAAGAATGAGTCAACTTCAGCTAGACACAGAGAACACCAAAAACGCACATTAATGCGGGTGATAGACAGGGAGGACTTCAACAGGCCAATGGGTGGACTGCGCTGCTGCATTAAAAGAGAGCGCAATGTGGGACTGTGTGTGTGTATGTGCGAGAGAGTGTGTGTGTATGTGCATGGAATAAGGTCAAGCGGGGTGCGGCAAAATATTTCCGCTGATAGCATTGATAAAAAGCCCGCAACAATGTTTGAATGGCAAACGCACTAGATGACAGAGAGCAGAGGCGTTGCCAGTGACAGTGACAACAACAACAACAACAACAAAAGGAGAACAACAATGTACAAAGAATGGCAAGCAACTAGCACAACAAAAATTTAAATAATAAAGAAATCTCAGTAGAAATTTCACTTTTGCTATGCGACGAACGGCGCCCGTTATACAGCAGCAGAAGCAACAGCAGCAACACATAAAGACATGAATACTTTGAGTTTTGGTTTTTTTGCCTTTACTTTGCGCACACACATACACACATACTACTGGCAGCTAGGCCGCACTTTCTTTGACGCTGACGCCGCTGACGACGCTGCTTGTGCTTCAACTACTGCAGATATCGTTCGTTCGCCTTTTGGCGGCTTTTACAAAATTTGTTTATTTCAGCTGCTAGACAGCAACAATGTGCAGGACGTAGCATACAATTAATCAATTACTACATCAATCACACTCACACACACACACACAGAAGCACACACACACATGCACTCATACGCGCACGCACATTAAGCGCACCAAATCGAGCGCAAAATTTGTGCCGTTTTATATTTTTGGTCATTTTTTTTTCTGCATGATGACGCGTTCGCTAAAACACAACAAAAAAAATAAAAATAAAATAAAATAAAAAAACATATCTAAAACAATAGAATGAGACAAAGGGCAATCGGACGCGCAATTTTAGCATGAAACTCACATTTTGCACATTAATATGCAAATATCACAACAACAAAAATTCAACACCAGCAGCTAGATACACAATAACAACAACCCAAATGAAATACAAAAAAAAAATACAAAAAACTCTTATATGTGTATAAACAATTCAATGAAAACATACAAATTCGTAATCACTTGGTTGCCGCTTCTTGTTGTTTGTGCTCGTTTTTTGCAGCTAACATACATATATACATATATATAGGTTGACTGCAGCGCGTCTTTTACTATAAATTAGTTTTTAATTTATGTCGGAACGCCTCGAAATTGATATATAGGTAACTCCGATGCGCACAAAAACCGAAAATGAACTGAATCGGATTTAGGGATGAGCGATATCTACTTGCCTAGCGCTGGCTAATATTGCTTTAAAAGTATCGATGTTTCCGACTGAATATCGTATCGTATCACATCGTATGCTATCGTATACTGCCCTAAGAATCGCTGTGGTATTTTGTGTTAAGAAACTAATTTAAATACATTTCAGTATTTGAAATATAAATTTTTTTGTTTATTATTACATACTCTAGCTCCGATTTATACACATATTACATTTTAGAATAGTAACAATATATGCAATACTATCGATATAATGAAACTCGATAGTTATGAGAAGGTGAGCCGCTAGAGGTATTTATGGCGTTTAATGCGCAAGTCACGCCAAGTGACAAATGCCAACACAGTGACGTCATAATCTCTCTCAGATGGCACAAGTATGCAAACAAATAAAACGGACTTAATAATCATTTTTAAGTTGCTAAATTTTATTATGATGGAAGTGTCAATATTAAGGTTGACCGAAAAAACTTATATATATCACAATTTTGTCACTCTCAACTTTTTTAAAAATTTCACAGCAATTTTTATGAAAATAATCACTTAAATATTTTTTCATTAAATTTATTTTAACAAGTAAAAGTTAAAAAAAATTAAGTGTAAAGCTATTTTTATTAAATTTTATTAACATTGCTTAATTTATTTTCATAAATTCTACTTAAACAATTTGTTATATACATTTTATTTAACAATTTATAGCTAAAGTAAAATGGAATATCTAAAATGTTAAGTAGAATCACTAACCATAGAACGTGGTTAGTGGTTCTATGGTTAGTGGTAGAACTAATATGAAAAAAAAGTAAACACAAACAAATTTAATAATTTATTAGTAATTCAAAGAAAAAAATATTTATATATATAAATTAAGTGATACTTATAAAAATGTTTAAAAAAAATATATATAATATAATAAAAATTGTAAATAAATACAGAAAAAAAACTTAAAAATATATTGAAAAAGAAAAATAAATAAATAAAACAAAAACTAGATAAATTCATAATAGCGGTTTTATTTTACATATGTAGAAAAAGGATTAGAAGAATTGGAGTTCCTTACGCATTTTATAAGACCAACATGACAATACCCTGTATTTTGCTGAGCTGCTTTTTAAAACATATTAGCACAAATAAATGCTCACATACCGGAAAAGCCGCACTTGTATACGCACTCGCTCCAGCACTCGCGGAAGCTGTTAAATGATGCTCAGTTGGTTATGCAAATAACAGTTCCGCGACTCATAATGGTAATTGTTCTGTTAATAGTGGCTTCATTTGCTCGTTATTATCTATTTGAATATTAGCGCGCTGGTAACTGATTCAAATTATTTAATTTGAATGAAAGGAAGGAAGTATACTAACAAAATATATTTACTAATTGAACAATTGAACATTGAAAAATTATAGAAAAATTGTTATTTTTTTAATATTGTAATCTTCAATCCTTAATCTCATATAAAATACGAACTTTAATTAACTCTGCGAATTAGACAGTTTATATATCAATATATATAAAATATATTCATATGATATGGATATGAATTGATTGCATCCCAAAGTGAGTTAATTATCGTCAGTATTTTATATGAAATTCGATATTACAAATACAAAGATAGATATTAAATAATTCATTAGATATAAATGCGGAACATATCGGTCATGGCCAGTTGCTTGTTGCACAGTGGGCATTTCCTTCTAGAAATTAGGGCCATCCTGATGCAGATGCGGCAGAACACATGGCCACATTTTGTGGAAACCGGCTCACGTCTACGGACAATCTCGAAGCAAATAGGACACTTGTAGGAAGTATCAAAGTGATCATGGTTGTAAATGCGGTTGCGAGGAGTGCTTCCGATGGTCCTGTGGCGGTTAGGGGCACAGCCACCAAAGGGTTCAGCTGGTGGTTCGAGTGGGATTAGAGATTGGTCACGAACTAGAGGTTGTTCATGGATTGGGAGTTCGCCACGGACGGGAGACTCATCACGGACTGGTGGTTCGGCAAGGACTAGAGGCTCTTCACGGCTTGGAGCTTGTTCACGGATTGGAGCTTGCTCACCGATTGGAGCTTGTTCACGGATTGGAGCTTGATCACCGATTGGAGCTGGTTCACGGATTGGAGATTGTTCACGGTTTGGAGCTTGTTCACGGATTGGAGATTGTTCACGGTTTGGAGCTTGTTCACGGACTAGAAGTTGTTCACGGATTAGAGGTTGGTTACGGATGGGAAGTTGGTTACGGAATAGACGTTCGGCACGGACTCGACGTTGAGCACCGGTTGAAGCTCGGGCACCGGCTGCAGCATTGGAATTATTAGAAGTTTGGGAACTTGTTGAAGAATCATCATCGGTATCGCTATCCGAGAAGATAACCGCTAGTAAATGAGTAACATTTTTAGATATAGATACCGATATGCATATAGATCGTATATACTAACGATTTAAACGGCGACTTGGGAGACGCTGGTTTCCAGGCGGACCACGCCCACGCATCAGATTTATATTTGCACTTACAATTATAACTAAAAGAAACGTCGAATTCGTCTTATATACAATTGCACTCATTAAAATCGTATTGCGACTAAACACAATTTAAAAGGAATATTTCGATTAATATTTATATATGTATATACTTACCGTTATCCATGTCTACATCATCTGAAGGATCTATCGTTGTGGTTATGGCTCGAGGTGGAGAGACAATAATCAACGGTTCATTAGAAGCATCTAATATATATGTACACATATGTATATGTCTTAAATATATGTATGTATATTAAATATATATATTGCACTTACTACGATAAACGCGCCCAATTGTAATCTCTCCTATGATACGATTTGGGAACGGATCATTCTGGAATCCCCCATTTCCAGCTGTGCCTATATGTTAATAAGAAAATATATATGCATAACCATAGAATTTTTATAAATATAAACTGTTTACCGTTAGCCGCGTTCCCATTATTAGCTGCCCTATTTTGGGCATTTGCCTCATTCGAGTTGGCGCCTTCGTCCATAGTTGGTTCGTTATTCGGCGACTCCAAGGAAGCGTTTTCTTCAGCATTCGAACGGTCGTTGGAGCCTGCAATATTATAATTATAGTTACAGTTATAGTTGCCATTGTTAATTAATTAAAGCGTTGAGGAGCCAACCGGATTCAGAAAAAGTTAAATTTTTGCGTTCCATTTTTTTTTCTCTCCTTTTTTTGACACCTTATACAAATGAATGGCGGAAAGTTCTATTACTTCGATTGCACTAGGTATCGATGCAACTGTAAAATGAAAGCCTGCTCTGTTAAATAACAAAAAAGTGGCCGTGTTGTGCCGGAGTTGTCAGACAACAGAATCAAAGATTGCTAAGCAGATGAAAAGATCTTTAACAAACATAAATAAATATAGTTTTCATGCATATTATGCATTAAATATTCAAAATGTATGTATATCATAAAAAAAACAAACATCAAAATAATCTAAATGTGTCTCTTATCTTTAATAGCATATTTTCACAATATTTTAGCATCTAATAGAAAATGTAATGTTTGATAACAAGAAAAATTGAGCTTTCTTCGCTGTACATCGAAGACTGCAGAAATATATCAAGTGTAGACATTTTTGAATCTTTCGTTAAATTGGTTTCGTTAGCTGAGTAAACCGCTCTTTAAGTTCAAAATGTATCGAGCTGCTAACATGGCGAGAACGAACACATTGCATATCGATAGCCCAAATATATCGCTAAGCACTTTGGACAGCTGAGCGCATTTTTTAGCACATTTTTGCAACGCGACGCGTTTGTGTAGCTTCTGCTAAAATTTTTTTTACTGCGACAAAAACAACATTAAAAACCAAACGCAAAAAGCCATTTTGTTGTCTGTGTGCGTGTGTGTGTGTGTGTGCGCATCCTGCAACACAAAACGTTGCAAATAGGATACTTTTTTTTTGTTTGTTTTTGTAGTTAGCCCAAAAAAAAAAAAGCTTCCTCCTCTCCAGCACCAACGGATTGCAGCTGCAAAGCAAAAAGACAAACTTAACCTCGCAGCGTTTGCAAAAAAAAGAAAAGAAAAATAAAAACGCAAAGCAAAGCGGCTAAGAAGAATAAAGAGAGAGCGAGAGCTACTTGTGTAAAAAAAAAGTGTTTGTTGCAGTACTTATATTTCCAAAAGCCGTTCCTGCCCCCAACATTCCTACAACGAAAAGTTGCAAATTAAGAAAATACGTCAAATAAACGACAAGTGAAACGAAAACGAAAAGAAAAACCAAACACACCGGCGAGCAAAGCAAAAACGAGCAACGTACATACATACATATACATACATATGCAACTGTGCGTGTGTGTGTGTGCGTGTGCGCGAATGTATGTTAAATAAACGTTATTTTTGAGAAAGAATAGTATTGAGGTACATACAATTGTATGTATGAATGATTTGTCATTTAGCCGGCTTTTTGTCGAATTTGTGTGAGATTATTCGATCAATTTTTTGCATTTCCTTGGAGTGCAATAATATTAACCCCAGATTGCCTGTCTCCAAAAAGCTTCCCAATTGGATTTTCCCGTTTGCTAATTGGCAACAGCTGTGCAACATGCAAATCTTGATAAAAACCAACTTTGGTTTTACATTCAAAACGTAAGATTTTTATTTAGTTTCCTCCATATGCATATATATATATGTATATACATTGAGCTGAATGCATATATACACACATACACGTTCATATGTCTGTGTGTATGCATACATAACCTAAAATAGAATTGGTGATGGGCTGTGGTCCTGACCTACGCCAACAACATGATCGCGTTTTATTATCTAAATCTGAATTTGACTCGAAATCGTTAAACTCTTTCTTTTAAATTATTATTAATTGCTAATATTGAGTATTTTTTTTTATCAACTTTTAGTTAATTTTTAAATATATAATATATTAATATTATATATATATTTGGAAGACTTTTTGTTTAGAATATATATTAGTGTATAGAAGCAACATCTCTATCTAAAATATATGTCTGTATATAAAATATATATATTGCACTTACCACGATACGCACGAGCAATTCTAATCATTCTTATGTTTCGATTTGGGAATGCATTCTGCGACCCCCCATTTCCAGCTGTGCCTATATGTAAATAAGAAAATATATATGCATAACTATAGAATTGTTAATTGTTATAAATATAAATTATTTACCGTTTGCCACGTTCCCATTATTAGCTGCCGCATTTTGGCCATTCGCCTCATTCGAGTTGGCGCCTTCGTCCATAGTTGCTTCGTTATTCGGCGACTGCAAGGAAGAGTTTTCTTCAGCATTCGAACGGTCGTTGCAACCTGAAATAATATAATTATAGTTATAGTTACCATTGTTAATTAATTAAAGCGTTGAGGAGCCAACCGGATTCAGAAAAAGTTAAATTTTTGCGTTCCATTTTTTTTTCTCCCTTTTTTTTTGACACCTTATACGTCTGATATTATGAAGCATAAGAACTTACAAATGTGGTTGGGTTGCTGAGTTTTTTTTTATTGTAATCCAGTGCTGCAAAAATATGGGATCGGTATCGTTATAATCGATATTTTTTAATTTTGGGAAGACATCGATATGGTTTTCTTAGTATCGATATATCGAAAGAAAACAATGGTTACTTTTGGCGTTTGACTTAATTAAAATGAAAAAATTTACGTTTTTAGGCAGAAAACGTAAATACAATTGACATATCCTATTGGAAAGGCATGGAATTATAGCGCATCATCTTCAGAAAGCGTGCAGATGCTTAGCAAAGCTGGGATAATTGCTAATTCTAGTCGAGCTCCGTTAAAGCCAAAAACTAAATAAGCCAAATTTTTTGAATAAGAACCAATGGTTTTCTCATAGTTTGTTTTATATTTTATATACTAGATCCGTTCAAACTGCCATGAACTGTTTTTATACCCTGAACTCATTGAAAATGGGAAATCAGGGTATAATTGTTTTGTGAAAGGCGTAGCATACCCCACAAAGTATATATTTTCTTGATCAGGGCGCCGAGCTGAGTCGATTCAGCCCTGTCCGTCTGTCCATCCGTATGACCAAGCCGATCTCAGAAGATATAAGAGCTAGAGTTTCGAATTTTTTAATATGTCCGTATATATAGCGCGGATATCGAGGTTACCTCCAAGAATCGATAACTCTTCCCGTTTTTTTTTATCGATTAAAGACATGATCGAAAATAAGCTATTTAATTATATCTCCTACATCTTTAGAGCTAGACTCGCCAAATTTTATATGTAAATTCATATGTACTTTATAGAGCTTGGATTTTTGTTATAATTCACACCCAATCCCTATACCCCCCCTCTCACCGCTATATTTGTAAAAGTCGTAGTCGAGCAGTCTCAACTAGAGCTTTCTTACTTGTTTTTTTTATTTACACATTCTATATGGGCTTGAATAAACAAAAAAATGTGTGGTCATTAAATTAAGAAAATTGGTTTTTCACTTTTATGTAATTTAATGTAAACTTTTTATTTATATATAAGGAAATAAAAACTCTTCTCGATAAATAATAAATTAAACACAAGTCTTCAGTATACAATTTTGTTTATTTGTTTCAATTATTTGACAATTTTGAGTTGCCAATAACTAGGAAAGTTGTAGTCGGGCATTATCGGATCCAAAATACTCATTCACAGCCCAAACGCTGTCAGATCCGTTTTCCGATTTGCCACGCCCCCAATTGGTATATAATGATAAAGTGCGAGTCAATAGCGGATGTCGACAGTAATTTAGTCACTAAATTGTGAATTTCTAGTTCTAAAACTGTAGAAGACACTGGTTCGCCTGCTTTGCTACAGCTCTAGATATATCTGTCATGCCCTTTTGAATTTACATTGTCAACGCGAGTAGGTATTCCATATTTTAGCTCCCTCTTTGTAAGATAATTGAAAGTACGTTTAACCACGCCCCTAGGTGGCGTATCGGGAAAAACTCGACACTATGTACGAATATATGTATTCGAAATATATATATATAATGGGAAAAAATATAGCTTATTCATTAATTAATTATATAATATTAAAATTAAAGATATAAAAATTAAATTCTTAAAAAAAAATTAAATAAAAGAAATTAAGTTTTTATCATACTCTTTAATTTTAATATTATATAATTAATTAATGAATATTAATTACATCATTTATTTAAATAATTACTTGACAGTTTTATTTATCATTTTCTTCTTAAATATAAAAATAAGTAACTTTTGTTTAAATAACAATCTATATATACTAATCAGATATTAAACTATACAAATTTCAGCTAATATGCCAAAATCTGATCGCGATGGCGATGACAAAGAACATGAATATTAATAAGTGACAAAGCAAAAAAAATAGCAAACTAAATTGAAAGAAAAACAGAATAACAAATAGATTTTGAAAAAACTTCAAATCAAACAATAAATCGGAAAATTGAGAACTGGAATAAAATGGATCATTTTCAAACGTCGCTAAATCCGCGCAAACATGAGCTGCTCGAAGCGCGCATCATTGGCGTCAGGGTAAGTTTTTAATATATGTATGTATGTGTATATGGAATGTATAATACACTATAATAGGGAAAGTCTTACACTCACCATAATAAGAGTAAAAATATTTTTTAAAAAGGAATAGAAAAATAAATAAATTTTGACAACTATTTTTTTGTTTATATTAATACATGGTATAAAGGAAAAAAAAACTACGAGATGGAAAAAATCTTCAATGATTTCTAAGTTTATTGAAATTGATTTAAGTGCATAATTGCTTTACAGCGCTCAATATTGGGTAACTAAATGCACGGTGGCTAACGTGGGTTAAGACCCAGGCCCAGGCAAAGGCACAGGCCAAACGGTTATTGCACTTTGGAATTGTCAGGCAGCTACACAGCTTTAACTTTGTGCATCTCGTTGTTGTTGTTGTTGGGATGGAAACTGTGATGGGGTAGGCCAGTGGCATTAGTGAGGAAGGGCGAGGGCATGGGGTAGAGCGGGAGTTTAGCAGAAAATGAAGATGGAAGATGGAGGATAGAGGATGAAAGATGGAAAATGTAAGATGTTTTTCCCATAGTTTTAGTGAGCCCTTCACCGCTGCTGCTGCTGCTGCTGCTGCTGTTGCTGTTGCTGTTGCCTCACCTTCGCTTCGTCCATTTCTTTAGTTTGTCGCTCGCGTGCATAGGGCAAAGAGTTTAACAAAGCAAATGAGATGAAAGAAATACACGAGCATAAGCAAGCAAATTAGCGTAAGCAAAAGATGGGAGGCAAAAGAAAGCGAGTAATACATGCATACATACATACATACACACAATATATGGATATGAATGGTACTAAATAGATGGTATATAATCAGTTTATATATGTATGTATACGAATGTACATAGATGCAGATGTATTATGTATTGGCATATGTATATATACATATGTATATTATATTTGTGTATACATGTATATATGTATGTATGTATTCCATTTTTTAAAATGAATCGCTCCACTTCTGCACACACACATGCACACACAATGGTTGGGCACTGTTATTGTTGTTGTCAACATCTTGTCTCATGCCGGGACGTGGCAAACACACCACATAAACACACACGCTCACGCACACACACATACATATACATACATATATACTTATATACGCTTATATTGCCAATACATATTGCACAGTGCATCGAGTACATATACATATGTATACATAAATATATATATTTACACACACAAATGAAAACTTTTGCACACACAACCCCCAACCACCCGCCTTCTGCCCACTCGCCGCCGTAAGCAAAGCCAAACCAACTGTGCTACCACTCCCCCTCCCGCGTGACAGCTTCTTGTTCCCTTTGCCCCTGCCGCCCTATACCCATATCAAGCGCACTTTCCACACTTGCCCCACTCTAGCTCCCCTTGGCACACACATAAATACATACATACATACATTTGTAAATATGTGTGTGTGCATATGTATGTATGTGGTTTTCCTCCTTTATACACGCTCTCTTGCGCTAGCTAAGCTAGGCTGGTCGGCGGCTTCTGCTGTGCCACGTCTCGTCTATGTGCGTTTTGTGTGTTGAAGAAATGAAAGCAAAAGAACAGCTGATAAGCGCGACACTGTCGTCGGCTGCGTCGTCAACGCAGACGCTGGCGTCGACGTCAAAATTCATGCTGCGCTGTTAACAGTGCGTTGCGACGCTCATGCACAGATAAACATGTATATATGTGTGCTATGGCCTCTGGTGAATTGAGTGTGGTGAATATTAAATTCAACTCTTGATGAAACCAAATTAAGGTTAACTAATGATCGAGTAAAGAGCGTACACAGTGGAGCACATCAATTAAATTTAAACCCAATTGCATTAATAATTTTATTTATTTCTGCTGTTAAAATATTTAATATTTCTTACCATATTCGTATTTCTCCAATTTTGTTTATTTATATTTTTTATGTAATAAAATCTATATATTTACAACTTAGATATATTAAGAGGTTTAATTGCTGTGAATAAAAAAACATACATATAACATTAAATTCATTTGCTTTAAATCAAGCAGTTGAGTTGTATTTTTACCGCCATGACACCACAGTGCTGCGGTAAGCAGTGTACTGTTAACAAGCATTGCGCTGTTATTAACATTTGCTCTGTCTGCTGTTACTTTAACAAAAGCTGTCGCCGCCTCTGTGACTGCTGCTGCTGTATTGCTGTGCGCCGCATACAGGCGTTTAAAAATTGTTTCACTCCATTTGCAAATTAACGCAAATTGCACGGTAAATGTTAATAATAAATACATACACACATGCTAGCTGTAACAGTCTGGGACAGACCCCCTAACACCAATCATTAAAAAATATGATGAACATTTTTATGCACGAACATAGATACAGATATGTATGTATAAGATAGAGATATACATACATATATACAATAACATAGCATTTAATTGGCATACGCCTGTCAACACACACACACACACACTGTGGCAACAGCAGCGTCTGTAGCAGCGGCAGTGGCTTCCGCATGTTATTAACAGTGACGTTGCGGCCGTCGCGTTTTGCCGGCTAATGCCACCAACAAAAAATGCGAAAAGTATAAAAAGAGGAAAAACAACAACTACAACAATGTGTGCGGCGAGCACTGTTGTAGTCGTAGGTCGCTGCTGTTGGCAGCCATTTTAACAGCAGCAGAGCAGCAGCGGCGCAGCAGCAGCAAAGTATCTGTGCTTTGAATTCTCTCGCCAGCAAATGCTCTTGCTCTTATGCTCGCCATGTGTCTATGTGCGTGTGCGTGTGTTGGGGCCGGCTTGTTAACGGCTGTTTTGGCTTTTGTTTCACATTCGCTCTTTGTGGTTAATCAGTTTATACATACATACATATGTACATATATATTTCTGATTTTTTTTTTTTTTTTTTTTCAAGTTGTATTTGCTGTTGTTGCTATGACAACGCGTATGGGCGTATTGTGATTGCTTTTTTCTTTCGATTTCTTACACTTGCTGAGACTTTCATTGAACGAGTCTTCGTTTTATAAAGTTTCCGTTAAACGGCCATTCATTTCACATAGTATATGTATGTATGTATATGTGTATTTATGTATGTCCTCTTATCGGCCTTATCAGCTGAAGCTTGACTAGCCGCAGCCGCGCCTTTTGCTTCGGTTATGGGACATCCTTCGTTGTATCCGCATACCCTCCACAAAAAAAAAATGAACCACCCAAAAACGTTAGGAAATTTGCCGCCAACGTTAACGTCGGCGTCGCGGCCACCCCAATCGACGCTCACGAAGATCAGGCGAAATGGCTAAACCCGACAAGTGGCAGAACGCAAAACGAAGCTGCGTCCGGCAGTTGTAAAACGGTCGTTTGGCTCTGCTAGCCGTTCTCTTGCT